CAGGGTTGAAACCAGACCCAGAGCCAGGGCTGGTCCGTAGGCTTGTCCCAACCAGTACCGATCCCTGTGGACCAACATCAGAGTACAGAGGTACCTGATCTCGGCCGGGGCTCCAAAGGACGGCTCCCAAGGTTGGGCCCCGTCCCAGGGAGTCCCCTGGATACGCCCAGCCCGGTACCAGTTGCCTGGCCCCCTTGCAACTGGCCAAGCCCCAGTGAGCTTCATTCTGGGTACACGGTTCCCAGATCCTGGATCTCATCCACGGACCACCGACTTACCTTCTGCCACCGAACCCTTACCCTAAACCTGCCAGGTTTAGTGCACTCAAATCCCACATGGAGCTTGGCTGGAACCCCTGGAACGTGACCTCAAACAACCAATCAAAACATGCAACACAACAACCCAACATTTAACTCAAAATAATCTAGGAAAATAGCTAACTTCAAAATACACAGTCCAAACAATATAAGAATCATAAATTAACTCGAAAGAAAATCAAGGTCACCTTGCCACAGCTCCATTCATGATGAATATGCTCCATTCATGATGAATATGCTCGCCATAGAGCTACTCCCCCCACACTAATCAATCCGACTCCTATGGCTGCCGCAATGCCTGTAGCGAGATGCTTCAAGAACTTTGTCTTCTTTTTTATCTCAGCCTGTGGTTCCTCCACAGGTTGTGGAGGAACCACAGTGTGGTTCTCCACAACCACAGGCTGGTTCTCCACAACCACAGGCTGGTTCTCCATAATCACAGGCTGGTTCTCCACAACCACAGGCTGGTTCTCCAAAATCACAGGCTGGTTCTCCACAACCACAGGCTGGTTCTCCAAAATCACTGGCTGGTTCTCCAAAATCACAGGCTGGTTCTCCAAAATCACAGGCTGGTTCTCCACAACCACAGGCTGGTTCTTCCACAACCACAGGCTGATTCTCCACAACCACAGGCTGGTTCTCCAAAATCACTGCCTGGTTCTCCAAAATCACAGGCTGGTTCTCCACAACCACAGGCTGGTTCTCCAAAATCACTGGCTGGTTCTCCAAAATCACAAGCTGGTTCTCCAAAATCACAGCCTGATTCTCCATAATCACAGGCTGGTTCTCCAAAATCACAGCCTGATTCTCCAAAATCACAGCCTGATTCTCCAAAATCATAGCCTGGTTCTGCAAAATCACAGGCTGGTTCTCCAAAATCACAGCCTGATTCTCCAAAATCACAGCCTGGTTCTCCAAAATCACAGCCTGGTTCTCCAAAATCACAGCCTGATTCTCCAAAATCACTGGCTGGTTCTCCATAATCACAGGCTGGTTCTCCAAAATGACAGCCTGGTTCTCCAAAATCACAGGCTGGTTCTCCAAAATCACAGCCTGGTTCTCCATAATCACAGGCTGGTTCTCCAAAATCACAGACTGGTTCTCCAAAATCACAGGCTGTGGTTCTTCCAGAGGCTGTGGAGGAACCACAGCCTGTGGATTCCTCATTTCTTTGTCTTCCTCAAGTTGCAATACATTGTTCAACAAGGTCACCTCGCCACATTCATGATGAATATGCTCCATTCATGATGAATATGCTCGCCATAGAGCTACTCCCCCCGCAATAATCAATCCGACTCCTATGGCTGCTGCAAAGCCTGTAGTGAGATGCTTCAAGAACTTTGTCTTTTTTTTATCTCAGCCTGTGGTTCCTCCACAGGTTGTGGAGGAACCACAGTGTGGTTCTCCACAACCACAGGCTGGTTCTCCACAACCACAGGCTGGTTCTCCATAATCACAGGCTGGTTCTCCACAATCACAGGCTGGTTCTCCATAATCACAGGCTGGTTCTCCATAATCACAGGCTGGTTCTCCATAATCACAGGCTGGTTCTCCATAATCACAGGCTGGTTCTCCAAAATCACAGGCTGGTTCTCCATAATCACAGGCTGGTTCTCCATAATCACAGGCTGGTTCTCCATAATCACAGGCTGGTTCTCCATAATCACAGGCTGGTTCTCCAAAATCACAGGCTGGTTCTCCATAATCACAGGCTGGTTCTCCAAAATCACTGGCTGGTTCTCCACAACCACAGGCTGTGGTTCCTCCAGAGGCTGTGGAGGAACCACAGGATGGTCCTCCAAAATCACAAGCTGGTTCTCCAAAATCACTGCCTGGTTCTCCAAAATCACAGGCTGGTTCTCCAAAATCACAGGCTGGTTCTCCAAAATCACAGGCTGGTTCTCCAAAATCACTGCCTGGTTCTCCACAACCACAGGCTGTGGTTCCTCCAGAGGCTGTGGAGGAACCACAGCCTGTGGATTCCTCATTTCTTTGTCTTCCTCAATTTGCAATACATTGTTCAACACATCTTCTAACACAGCCTGTGATACTGTTATAGCCTGTGATGAAACCACAGGCTGTAAGTCCCAAATTTCCAGGTCTTTCTCTAATAGCTGGATTTCATTCTCCAAGTCTTCTATTTCTTTGTCCAGCTTTTCCAATTCTTTTTCTTTCAAAAGAAATTGAGAGTAATTTGATATTTCACAAAAGTCATCCATTTTTATTGAAGCAATCCGTTTGTTTTCAAAAGTAATCTGAAATTGTCGAGCTCTTTACTGACTAAATGTGTCTTTCTGGAACCAAAGTTCAAGATTTCAGTGTTGGGATGTCATAGTGAAAAGCGTGATGTCACAATCTGATGTCACAGCCTCAGTAGAACAAATGGCAAACTCATCAAGTTTGAATGAAAACAATCTGCGTGTGTTTTTTTATTTATTTTAATTTTTTTACTTTATTTCAAACAAATAACATGAGCATACATACGGAGGTTAAATCAACGTCAAATATTAAAATATAATAAAACAAAAAATAATTGCAGATATTGAGGGTGTTGATGTGAAAGTCTAGAAAGACAAAATTAAAATAAATATATTGTACATACATTGGTATAATATAATAATATGTACTTATTCAGTTAGGTTTTCATAACATGTCAAAAATGTATTCAAATACATATGAAGATTGTTTATTATAGCAAAAAGAATAATAAAGGCAACAAAAGAAAAAGATAACAGGGATCTTCTTATGAGAAGTCAATTCTTGATTGAGTTGAAAAGCTTTTGTTACTCCAGGTGAATTGGAGTCAGTAGGATGACGATGTCTCCAAATACCTACTAAATTTGCTAATGTTGTTGTGTTTTTGTCATTTGTTTTGTTGTAGCGTCCCGGTTGAATGGATGGTCTCTCAAACTGATGGTTCACAATGTTTATTGAATGCCTTTTTATGTGAACACACCGTAAGAGCTACAAAACATACAAATACAATACATTAATAACTCAAACAGTGTTGTTTTCACATTTAACTTTAACATATTAATCCTTTTTCTTACATTCTGTCATTAAACCTTCTGTCATAAAATAAAACGCAATATATTAACTGTTAACGGTTAATTAACGAATATTAGTGCCGTATAATAGTAAAATACAACCGTCACCCAATAGCAAACAACACGTTTTACAGTAAAACTAAACATATATTTACATATTAAAAAACTCTCACCTTGTTCCCCATCAACCAAGCGCCAACCAACTGACTTTATATACCCTAATCTGAACCACACCTTCATTAGCTTTACTCCGACCTGAGCGCTCTCTCTTTCTGCGCGATGACCAGCAGTTAATTGTCAGTTAATTGTCTAACGTTGGCGTCACACTTCACCACTCTTCCGTTTCAAATCCTTTCAAAATAAAAGCATAAATTCTTATGTTAACAAATACTCGTTTTTAATGAAGAAACACAAAATACTAATAAGGTCATTTACATTTGTGCTTTCAATTTGCTGAAGTGGTTTGCACCTCAGGGCTGCCGTAAAGTTTGTTCTCCGCCATGCCGTCAAAAGGCCTGAGAGAAATATTCAAGGTTTTATTTTGAAATTGTCATTAAACTTAATTTAAAATTTCCACACTAATCCTGTGTGTAACAATGGTTGCTTAAAATCAGTTATAAAAAGCCAAAACACAATGTAATTCTCAAGGCCAGCTCATTCCTCCTCAGTAGTAACTGACAGTTCCGCCATGTTGTAGTTCTGACAATCAGCTCTGACCTCTTTTGTTGGCACTGAGTGTTCCGCCATGTTGTAGTTCTAACCTTCAGGAATTGTAGTTTAAAGAGGTCAACTGTCATGTGTGTGAGGCAGAGACAGATTTCTATCTTTGTGAGACAGCTCAGTCAGTTTTAATGCTATGGGCAGGGCCCCAACAAGAAGAAGATGAAAGAAATACAAAATGAAAATACAAACACTGATAAAACACTGCAGAACTGACACCAAATGGACTTTACAACTTCTGCTGAATGATTCATTGCTTTTCTGGCTTGTGTGTATTTTTTCCTGTAAATCTTGTTTTCTCTAGCTAAACTGACTAGTGAACGCTTCCACAGGGTGCGGCTGGCTGCTTGTCTGATTGCACGTTCACCTTATGAACTGTGAAAAGCCTGTCGCGCTTTTCATTTCTTACTCTCAGTTTAGTCACTGCAAACAGTAAGTTAACAAACTGGTTACTTTGACAGTTCCAGCAGAAGGAAATGTTTGACCAGCTGAAAATCATTTACATATTATAGTCAAAGTTCAGAATGCGGCTGTTGCCACCCGAACAGAAACACCTGAAGACAAACCCAGTGACCTTCAGTCAGTATGATGATGCTGCACATGTAAAAAAGTGATGGAATTGTAAACTTGTGCTGTTTTCGGCTCATGCTTTGTTTTCTTGGCATTGGCAGGAATTTAAATATTTAGTTTTCTGCTGTTTTTGTATTTTATTTGTTTTGTTTTGCTTGTTTGTTTTTTTCTCTTTGACTAATGTGTGGAAAGGTTAAAAATGACTGAAATAAATGAGTAAATAAATAAATAGAGTTTGATTTGTGTTAGAGTTGAGTCATTTTTTCCTTTCATTTATGGAAGGAAAATAGTATTTTACTATGAAGGAAAATCTTCATAGTAAAATACTTAATTTTCACATTTAGGTGACAGGATTAACTGACATTCTTATCTCCACCCACTGAAACCAGCTCACTGTTTGAGCGTAAGACAAAAATGCTGTTTATCGAGTTTATAGTGAAGTGAGAATGAAATGTCCTCTGCCTTCAACAACCAAACCACACACCTTTTTCATACAAAGAGCCTCTTAGCAAATTCTTTTTACTTCTTTTTCTCTGTTCTCATTCAATAAAATGGTTAAAGAAAATAGCAGCTTTAATTACAGGGAGAATAACACAGGAACAAAAGAGGCAGAAAATATTTATCGGTGTCACCAGAGCTTGTCTGACTGGTAAAACGTCTCTGAGTTGTCAGACAGAATGACAGGAATTATCCTTGCTGTTGAACAGAGATGAAACGGCATCACAACATGGTGGATCGCTGTTGAAAAAGACGCTGGACCTGAGTGAGAGCGGAAAAGAAACTTTAATGGTGAGTCCACATACTGACGCTTTGGAACAAAAGACAGGAAGAAACTGATTTTTTTAAAAATTTTCTTCAAGATCTGTTGTCTTTAAAAACAAGAAGATCATCTAAAATGATGATCTAATAGCAAAGAGGGTGAATTTTAAGATGAAGAAACTGACTAACTCTTTACCTGGAAGACAGAAAACTTCATCTGAGAGGAAAAATCAAGCTAAAATGGGGCTGTGCAGTAAACATCCAGAGGTTCCTCATTTATTCTGTGAGGACGAGGAGAGAGCTGTGTGTCCTGTCTGTGAGTTTTCTCTCCACCAGAATCACAAAGTGGTTCCTATGGAACAAGCAGTCGGTGGGCTGAAGAGGCAGCTGAAATCTGACTTAAAGTCTCTGCAGGACAAGAAGGAGAATTACAAACAAATGGAGAAAACATACGATGAAATGACCGAACACATCACAAAGCAGGTGTCGTCTACAGAGAAACAGATCAGAGCAGAGTTCAGCAAGCTGCACCAGTTCCTGAAAGAGGAAGAGGAGTCCAGACTGGCAGCTCTGTGGGAGGAAGAGGAGCAGAAAAAGAAAATCATAAAAAAGAAAATAAAGAAGATTGAGGAGCAGATCATCTCTCTGTCAGATGGTATCTCTGCTGGTAAAGAAGAGCTGCAGAAAGACAACCTATCGTTCCTCAGCAGTTTTGAAACCGCACAGAGCAGACTCAGAGGTCAGAGGTCACTGCCAGATCCACAGCTGGTCTCAGGAGCTCTGATAGATGTGGCCAAACACCTGGGCAACCTGTCCTTCAGAGTCTGGGAGAAGATGAAGGACCAGGTCCACTTCAGTCCCGTCATTCTGGACCCAAACACTGCCAGCCGATGGCTCTCTCTGTCTGACGATCTGACCAGCGTGAGACGCTGCGAAACAAAGGAGAAACTTCCTGACAACCCAGAGAGAAACATTAACTACACCAATGTTTTCGGTTCTGAGGCCTTCAGCTCAGGGAAACACAGCTGGGAAGTGGAAGTTGGAGATCATCCTCGCTGGAATATCGGTTTGGTCAAAGAGTCTGTGGACAGGAAGGGAGAGACAGACGCTTTGCCCAGATATGGAATCTGGTGTTTAGTGCATGGTGACGGAAAATACACAGATGGCGAAGCTAACATCGTCACAATGAAGGAGAGCCTCAGGAAAATTAAAGTCCAGCTGAACTATGACAGAGGGGAAGTGTCCTTCTATGACTCTGAAGACATGAGTCACATCCACACCCACAGAGACACTTTCACTGAGAGACTCTTGCCTTATTTTTGTGTTGGAAAAACAGGAGATGTGGAACCGACAAGTATCAAAGTCTGTACAACTAATATTAATTTTTAAGCATCACAGAAACAGAGCGTAAAGTTTGAAAATAATTGTTTTTTGTTGTTTTCTGAGAAGAAAACAAGACATGTTGACATCAGTTACAATGTTAAATATTATACCATACATGTTCAGACTTTGACGACTCAATTTTACATAGAAAATGTGCAAAAAAAAAAATCTAAAACCACAGATAGTTTACACAGGGGATCCACTCATTTATGTTTATGTTGTATGTGAACGTCCCAATATGGAGACAGAAACATTGTTTGCTTCTTTTCTTGCTGTCTTTAAGTCTTTTTTAAAACTCATTCTTACTTTCAGTGGATTTTGACACAGTATGAGTTGTTTCTGTTTTTATTTAAACAGTCTTTGTTTAAAAGGTATTCTGTTTATGGTGTTTTCATTTTTACATTTTATTATCATTCGTTTCTTGGTTTCTTGATCTGTTTTAGTACTGTACAGCGTGTTGGTTAATACATTGTTTTAAAATGTAATTTATGAATAAAATTGATTTGGATTGGTCTATGAAGCAACTTGATTTCATAAGCTTATTCTTCAAATTTTACTATTATAGAAAATCTAGTCACTAGTAAAACAACTCTTCAGTCTTCAGCAGTTATAATAGACAGATTTAAAACTCTGATAGCATACCAGCATGATTGCAAGATTAAGAAAAACAGTTCAAATAATTTTTAATATGTTAGTTGAGAGGTTATGAGCAGTCAATACCTTACCTGAAATATGGGATTCAATGACACAATAAATAGAGTTAATTATTTTAAAAGCTGTTGGGGAATCAGTGAGATTTCAAAAACAAAACAAAAAAATTCAAGGAAATTAGCGATGGACACAACTCAGAAACACTGAAGAAATTACAAATATTTCATTCATGTCCTGGATGTGATCAACAAGGGGCAAAAATAGTTTTTTCTCCACATTTGGGCCGTAAAGGTTTTCTCAAATGGACTCTGATGAAAGTAAAATTGAACTTTGATCCATAATTCAACTGGAATTTTTTTTTTTTTGTTGAAGTAGATAAAATCTTCTAATACAAATCTAAAGAACTTTGACGTAAAACTTTCTGTTGTTTTCTTGACAACTGTAGATGAAAAGATATTTCAACAGAAGAATGAAGAAATGTAATGCAACTTCTTAGAAAAGTCGACAGGAGTCACCTGAGAGGGCTGTGGACATCAGATGTTTTCACAATCTGATTGATTTGGAAATCTTTCTAAGTCAGCGAATTGTTCCAGGTGAAGAAGTGGGATGTTAACAGTTTTCATGCTCTTTAATTGGGGAGCACACCAATTAAAGACAGTTGTTTCAGCTGTCAATCAACCTCGTGAATGCTTTGCTAAATGTGTTAATGACACAAAAACAACTCACCACAGGAAAACCATTTATCCTGTGGTGGCCTTGCTAACTAGCATTAGCATTTATGAAAGCCTCTGCTAGCTGTAGCCACAACTTCTCGCCAGCTGTCTGCAGAGATTCTGGCAAGAATCTAGGAGCAAAAACTGCATCATTTGTGGAAGAAGATCCTCAAGAGAAAAAACTTACTACGATAGTAAACGGAGAGTGAAAGGGGGAGATGAGCAGCGCCACATGCAGAGCTAAGACCTTTCTCCTGGCTCTAACTAATTATTTTTAGTTAGAACTAGTCAGTGTCTTCACTGATTGTCTTGTCTCATACAGATATATTCAAATATAGAATATTCTATACATGTATATTTTAGAAGAGTTAAATACTGCAGCTTTATGCCCATGTTGAATGGATGTAAACTTGAGAAAAAAGGTGGATGTCGCTATGTTTTATAGTTTCTCAAGTATACTATTGAAGCTTCACAGTTTGCTTCTTGATTCAGCATTTAACCTGATGCCTCACAAAGATGGAAACATTCACAATGAAAGTAAAGAAGAACAGGTTTCTCTGGACGGCTAAAGGAAAAAATGTTGCTTGTCCTGTTTATGGTGAGCTGAAACAAACTCTTTAAATGTAGAATGGTTGTAAAATTTAGCACAAACTTTGAGATTCTAAACCTCGAAATGTCCTTATGTAAAAATGAACAGAAGAAATGTTATGAATGTAAAAATGTAATTTGTTTTGTATTATTTTCAGCTTTCAGAGTACAAGGAAATTTGATGAACAAAGAAAAGCAATTACACAACACAACTTGTCTGACTGGTGACACGTCACTGTGAAGTAAAATCAACGCAACCGTTTCTCCCCACAGACAGACCCGATCCACCGTCAAAGGAACATCATCGCAACACAACCTCAACATTTACAGGATATTACTCTGCAGACAAATCTGTGAGTCCTTTTTTCTGAAGACAACACAAGATGGCTGAGTCTGCTATTTTTCAAAGTTATTTGAGCTGCCCCGTTTGTGTTGGGACACTGAAAGATCCCGTATCTCTGAGCTGCAGCCACAACTTCTGCGCCAGCTGTCTGCAGAGATTCTGGCAAGAATCTAGGAGCAAAAACTGCCCCATTTGTGGAAGAAGATCCTCAAGAGAAAACCTCTCAGTGAACTACACTCTGAAGGAACTCGCCAACTCTTTTGCTGGAAGACAAGCGCCTGAACCATCCCCGTGGCTCCAACCAGAGCAGAAGCTAATAGTGGTGTGTAGCATTCATCCAGATGATCCAAAATACTTCTGTAAAGATGAGCAGAGAGCTGTGTGTCACATGTGTGAGTTCACTCTCCACCAAAACCACAAAGTGGTTCCGATTGACCAGGCGATCAACGAGCTGAAGGTGCTGCTCAGATCTGATTTAAAGTCTCTGCAGGACAAGAGGAACTGGAACATGCAGGCGGAAAAAGCATACAGCGAAATGGCAGAACACCTAAAAATCCAGGTGTTGACGACTGAGAGTCAGATCAGGGCAGAGTTCAACAAGCTCCACCAGTTTCTGAAAGAGGAAGAGGAGTCCAGACTGGCAGCTCTGAGGCAGGAAGAGGAGCAGAAGGGAATGACTATCAACAGATTTCTCAGCAGGATACAGGAACAGATCTCTTTGCTGACAGACAGTATCTACGCGATTGAAGAGGATCTCCGCAAAACTGTCTTGCCATTCCTCAGCACCTATAAAGCCACTCAGAGCAAAGCCAGAAGTCAGAGGTCACTGCCAGACCCACAGGTGATTCCAGGAGCATTGATAGATGTGGCCAAACACCTGGGCAACCTGTCCTTCAGAGTCTGGGAGAAGATGAAGGGGAAGGCCCTCTACAGTCCCGTCATTCTGGATCCAAACACTGCTCACCCCAGCCTCTATCTGACCGATGATCTGATTGGTGTTAAATGTGGAGAAACATGGCAGCAGCTTCCTGACAACCCAGAGAGAAATATCAAGTATGCCAACGTTTTCGGTTCCGAAGGCTACGGCTCAGGGAAGCACAGCTGGGAGGTGATGGTGGGAGACCATCCTGACTGGATAATTGGTTTGGTTAAAGAGTCCTTCGACCGAAAGAGAGAGACATTTGCTTCAGCGAAGTTTGGAGTTTTAGTTCTGGTGCATCGCGGTGGAAAATACTCCAATGGGGCAGGCAAGGCGGTGACAGTCAGGAGGAATCCGCAGAGGATCAGAATCCATCTGGACTACGATGGGGGAGAGGTGTCCTTCTACAACTGCGAGGACAGGAGTCTCCTCTGCAGTCACAGAGACACTTTCACTGAGAAACTTTTTCCATACTTCTGCATCGGAAAAGCCGGCGAGGTGAAAACATCTCATGTTAAAGTTTGTAAAGTGTCTCCCTGAGTAATAAAACCAGAGTATGACAGGTATGCTCCATCAGAAAACAGAATATGTCTGTGAATACTACATCTGAACATAAAATACTACAATTTTTTTTTATTTAAATAAAAACATAAAAATATGAAAATGTTAAAAATAAAATGGGGAAATGCAGTAGACTTTTTAAAAAGCTTTTTCCAAATATCTAAAATTCCTGAGCTTTTACTAGCTTTTTATTTTATAAAAAATAACTTTCACTTCTTAATATGAAACATTTATTTTGTTTTGTTTGTGTATGAGTTTGTTGTGGTGGGTTGAAGCCGTTCTTCATTTTAAGGCCATAATGAGATTTTCAAAGTGTTTGTGATGAAATTCTTTGCATTGCTTTGATTAATATTTGTATAGATTATTTTTGCTGAAGAAGAATCAGGGATTCAGATGTTTAATTTAATGTCAGGGCTCAAAACTTGATACTTTACTGTTGTTAAATGTGACTGGATTATTGGGTTTTGTATGTGTCTCCTCTTTTATTTTATCTTATTATCTTATCTTATTGAAATGTGTAGGATAATGTTCAGTAAATTTGTTCACTGATAATAATATTATAGCTCCTATACTGAGGAAATAAATAAAATTTTAATGTTTCTTGTGGCTTTATTTAATTAGAGTTTAGTTAAAATTTTACTATTAAAGGTTGAAAAATTAAAACCAGATGGATGCAAGCTAGTAATTTTTCTATTTTAATTTTGCTTCGGATCTGTAAAGATGAAAACTGAAGTAACTTTATACTCATATTTGCACTAATTCCACTGCTGAATTTGTCACTTCTTACTGAAAATGTACATAAATAAAAATAACTGCATTCCATTGATGTCTGCACCTGGACTTTAGCTTGTTAACAAGTAGTCTGTAGACTACTGATGTTGTTGTCTACGTTCGGCTACGTAGATTCATTTTGTCCCCCCAAAATGAATGGATGGATGGACGATGTTCCACTTTCCACCAGATGGTGGCGATAATGCACTTGAAATCAAAACGAAGGAGAACAAGAAGAAGAAGCCGTCTACCGGAAATGACATATTTGAAGCGGGCGGGGAAGGCCTGTTGGTGATTGGAGAACGCAGATTTTTGAAAGTGGCGCTTATTTTGGCGAGTAATAAGTTGATTTCTAAGGTGTTTTTTTTTGGCATAATCTGGACTGTGAGTGGATCGAGATGGCTAGTTGTAGTGGGGGGTGTTCAGAAGATGAAAATATGGACACAGGATGGTTTATGGTAGAAACTAGAAGAGGGGGAGGAGGGAAAGATAAGGTTAAAAAGGGGACAAAATTACCGGTGGAAGATCTCTTAAAGATGAGGAAGAAAGAGTTGAAATAAAAAAGAAAATAATAATGGAAGACTTTAAAGTAATATTAAAATTTAAGGCTGGACAGTGTATGATTGGGGTTAAGTCCTATCAGTTTGTAAAATGGATTAAAGAAAGTAGAACTAGCTAAAGTTTTATTATTATTTGTAAGAATGCTGAGCAAAATAATAAGGCATTAAAACTACAAATGGTATGTAAAAAAGAAGTGTTGGAAAGAAAGGTAGTGGGGGAAGAAAGAGGAGTAAAGGGTGATTTCAGGGATCCCTGTTGGAGAAAACTTGGAAGAGCAAAAGAAAATAATTAAAGGAGGAGAGATTACAGGTTTATAGCTCTCGTGTTAAATAGTTTGGATTCCTGCCCACATTGGAGTAAAAGGAAATGAGCTGGCAGATAGTTTTGCTAAAAATGCAGCAAAAAAAATTATTGTTGATTTAAATATTAAAATAAGCAAAAATTAGGTTAAAAATATGAGTAAAATGTATATTAAGAAGAAATGGCAGGAACAGTGGGATAGAGGAAGCAATACAAGATTTTATTATAGCATCCAAAAAAAAAGTTGGGGAATTCAGGAAATGTAATTGGAGTAAACAAGAAGATGATACTATATCTAGATTAAGGTTTGGACATACAGGATTAAACAGTACTCTTAAAATAATGAATAAATATAGTACAGGTCTTTGTAATTATTGTAGAAATTAAGAAACAATTCATCATATTTTTTAGAATGTAGTAAGTACGTTCAGGAAAGGGAGGGATTCATTAGATAATTAAGTAGGAATAAAAATAAATTGGATATCATGGATTTGCTTCAAAGATAATCTGGGGATGTAGTTTTTAATAGTATTTTTAGTTTTTTAAGGAGAACATGTACAGTATTATGGGAAGATTATAGTGGATTAACATCAGATCCATACTCCAGTCTGGAAGGTGGCGGTAATGCACTTATAAATTGTCTGCCAACCGCCATAAAACAAAAAGAAGAAGAAGAAGAAGAAGAAGAATAATGCCATCAACCGGAAATGACATATTGAAGCTAGTGAGAAAAAAAAAACCTCACGAGATTTTCGCAGGTATGTTTTTAGTGTTCAAATTACTTTTTACAAAAATAACAGGACTTAATTTTAGCAGCTCTTTTTTCTAGCTTTTTCTACTTGGAGTGTTTATCAGCTCAGAAATATTCAGAGCTAATCGTGCAGTTAGCGTCTCACCAAAGCTGCTAGCTAACAGACACCTGCGCGATGGATGAGTGTGTTTATGTTTACTTTGAATATTAGGTCTTTGTTTCTTGCAAATATCAAGTGATGATATCAGGTTTCCAAAAAAAGAAAAAAAGAACAAAAGTCTGCACTAAGAGAACCTGAAATTCAGAAAGAATTTTTATTTTGAAAATGGAAACATTTAGCAAGGGATATAATGTAGCTCCCATTTAGTAATGGTTTTTACCCGGTTAACCTTGCAGGATAAAGAGGTAGGGGGCTAAGTTCAAATGTTATTGAGCGATAATCAATTTTATTAATGACAATGCAACACCATTAGTAATTACAATCATTGGATATTGATTACAATTATCGCTAACAATTTAGTTACTGTATTTGTGGTCAAATGTATTATTGGCATGCAGGGTGGCAGCTGAAATGTGTCACAAATATTTAATCCAGTCAAAACTGGATTAAACTTTTGCTTTCTAGTGTTGCTGCATGCATATTCATTATAAGGGATTTATGCAAAGTCAACAACACATTGCAAGTGGTTGTTGCTATGTGCTTGTCTAGTGAACAGAAATCATTGACCCGATGCAATCTGCAGCGTTTCTTTAGAAACTTTTTAAACTAGTTTAAATAATAATTCAGGATTGTTGTGTGCCATTACTTTTTGAAAATGTCTTCATATTGGCACAATATAAATAAACTAAATTAAATTATATTTTTACAATTTACATGGAAACAAAAGTACATTTTAAACAATTGGTTAAACAATATATTTAGGAACAGATATAAAAATAAAAAATGCTTGGTTGTTTTTATTGAATAAATAATCAAATCAAATGATATTTTGAATATGAATAGCTGGAAAGAATAACTAATAGACGACTTAATTTATATTTTAAAAAATCTTTGATTTAATTAGAAGCAAAACTATAAATGTGGAGAAAGGATGTTGCCATGTCAGGAAAATTATCAGGTGACTTGAGTCTGAGATGAACTCAAGTGATACTCAACTTTGCCCTACAGTTACTCAAAAAGCTGTTTTTACTGTAAAGGTATGTGGATAATTTAAACTTATAATTGCTTTTTTTCTTGTACATCTCATCGCTATAAAATAGGAGACTCAAGCAACTAACTGGATGTTCATGAAATACGATGGACAACTCTGCTGCAAATAAGAACCACATACATTGTCCAACATGGTTGGACCAGAATGGCTGGTCCACTACTTCAGCTCAAGGACTCCCCATGAACATCCACACTAACTCTCAGCCTCTCAGTCTGGGTTCCGACTCCGTCCAGAGATCATTGTTTGGCCACCTGGAGACGTCCAATCAGAGCTGTATGAGCGATCTGAGCAGCTTGTCCTCCGGAAACAACAACTTGTTAAAGGCTTCCAACATGAACAGCATTTTTTCTTCCAACTCAATTTTTTCTAACCCTCCCATCATTGCTGCGTCTCATGGGATGACCTTTGAGTCACAAACTCTTTACACACCTTCAGGGTTGGAGACGACACATCAGGCAAAAATAATCCCTCCACCGGCTCTTTCCCAGCAAAACCAGAGTCCGCTAACTTGTGAGGTCCAGAATTTACTTCTTCAGACAACCAATTACAAAATGTGTCAATCTCAGTTGCCTGGTCTTGAGTTATCACACGCTTTTCAAAATCAGTCCTTTGATTTTTCATCATGTGAGCCGAATGTTAACATGCCTCAAGCAACATTTGGAGAACAAAATAATGGCAATAACTACGCAAACATCTCTGAATCAGCCATTTCCACGGAGCAGCATCAGTGGGTACCTTCAGGAGAAACTGGTCATGTCGACAAACCACCGTTGCAGGAGAATAGTTGTCCGCCTTCGGTAAGGATGTGATCATTAAACCATTAAACTGTATGAGATGACAGTTTTTTTTATTTTTTTTTAAGAAAACTTTATTTTAAAGAATTGAGCACCACTGAGGATTGTTTTTTTTTTACATGTGTACTTATTATTATTTTTTGTTTTCAGACTGAAGGCAAGCAAAGACGTTCCTTCATTTTAAATCAGCGTGCCCAGCTGCTTAAACAGTTGGAAAACCTTGATAAACTTGTAAGTATGCAAAGGTTAAAATACAGTTATTATTTTTTCTGTCCAGGTTTCAACAGTTTCAAGTAAAGATGATGGGTGGTTTTAACTTTGTATTGTTTTTCTTATTAAGCTGGAGTCAATGCCTTCAGATGACGAAGAGGAACCTTCTAACAAAGATGTTCAGGTAAGTTATGCTTTCTAACCACCACTTAAGAACAAGCAGCTCTACATTCATTGTAAACTGTTTCCTGCTGGTTTCTTTAAAGTTTATAGATCCAGTTCTTTATCACAGATTTTTTTTTTTATTGGGGTTTGTTTGTTTCTAGTCTCCACCTGCGGCAAATTGTTCCTCACCTTCACTCTGTGATAAACAAAGTTTCTCTGACACGGTGCCAGCATCTCCATTGTCACCAGCTGGATCTGAGGTCAGTACCGTTTTACTTTCAGGCTTTGTTCATGACCTGTACAAAGGCTGTTTCATAAAGATTATTGCAAAAACCTTGTATCTGTGGACATGTACAGATAAATGCCTAGTTAAGTGACAAAATCTGCCAGTGAAAGTAGTATTTTTAATCAATATTAAGTAATTATTGACTGAAAACAAACTCCTGTATCTCTCAAAAGTTACTTGTAAGTTTGTTTTGTATTATTTCAAGAATGCAGCAATATTTGCTTTAGAAATACTTGGTAAGATTTTGTGTTTTTGCAGTGTATTGATTTAGGTAGAAAATGGATGAATTGAGATGGAATATTCTGCTTTATTATCTATTTCTTAAATTAGCAATTCATTTTGCTCCATATTTCTTTTATGTTTCAGGAAATGGATCAAAGTTGCAGCGCGTCGGAAGAGGATTCTGATGCTTTTTCTGATTATGTGCTTCAAAGTGAAGTCAGTTTTTCAAATTCCCAGTCTGAGGACGATGCCGACTCTGAGGATTGTCTCAGTCCCAGCTGTCAGGAGGATGACACAGTAAAAATGGAGGAAAATTCAGACGATTCTTT